CTTTTCATATTAGTTCTGATTAATCTCAATGAAAGGTCATGTGAGGTGTTTCAGCTCCGAGGTACGGATTGCCAAGGGGAGGAGGAGTCTGCTATACTTTGTATGGAAGTGTATTTTGTATCAGAAAATTACTAGAAAACAGTGTGGGCTGACTTTCAAATCATTGCATTTAGGATTCTTTACAAATCATACTGAACCCCAAACACAGTAGTGTTTAATTTTCAGCTAAGCGAGACTAAAAGGAAACAATTTGCTTCTGGCTAGTGTGAAACTAAAATAAAATAAAGTGTAGCTAGCCTGCGGACATTAAAGAAGATAAAGTGTTTAATAAGCATCTTCTTGAAAAGGTGACATCTGTATGGAACACCTGCTGTCTTCATTACATCTTTAAATAAACGTGTCTCTGGGGGTTAGGAGGCCCTTCTTTGGGCACACTGTGCTGTGACAAAGAGATTTTAAACCTCAAGTAATTTACTGTTGTGCATAGAATGCTTTTTGGTGAGGAGGGAAATAAACCCCTGACAGATAATGCAGACCCAAGGAGGCCTGTTTTGAGCAAAACTTTGAGGCTATAACTTCATCAGGTTATGGCACATCTCCTACCCCTTGGTAGCCCTAGTTATTTAAAACTAGTTAAGAATTTTAATGTTTTAGGTCACTTAAACATTGTATACGTAATGTTGCACGTAGACAGTGCTTCATTGTACATAGGCATAGATATGTAGTGGCATTCTGGATTTCTTTGTGTGCTTTGAGGAAGGGATCCAAGTGACTGCCAAGTCATGCCTGTGTCCACAGCTTGTTTGTGTTATGTTTTTGTTCATTGCTCTCCGGCATTTTGTAGGGTCGGATGGGTAGAAGTGAAAGAGCACCAGTGAAAGCTGTTCTCTGAGTGCCTTTTGAATCAGTTGTCATTTGGTTAGATTACAATCTAACCAAGAATGATTTCCATAAGCAATGACTGTGAAAAGCCTGTGGCTCCAGAAAATAATATTTAATCAGCAGTGTGGTTCATCTTATTGGCCTGAGGAAAAATAACTCACCCAAAATTCTACTCTATCATAGAATTTTTAAAAGCCCAAATGAGAACATCTGTTTTTAGATGTATGCATTAATGCTTTTCCCCCTGAAGATGCAGCAGTTATATAGTTTCTCTGCACTCTGTATTTCTCAGACCTTGACATTAGACAAGAGGGACATCATCAGAGTTAAAGAGCAATTAGGATGTTCTTCCCTGTCAATTAACTAGCAGAATAATGAGACCAAATTAGCACTGTCCTTAAAAATGCTAAGATTTGTATTTTTTTGAAAAGTCTTTCTCTGCTCTCTGTAGTTACATGAATATACATTCACTCAACTTTGAAAAGATAGACATTGTACCTTCCACAACCCAAAGAGAAAGGTATACAAATTGGGTATCATTTACTTTAAACTCAAAATTGTGCACTCTTTTCTCTCTAGTGGTCACAGTGAGATGTAACCTGTATCACCTTTTATGTCTTAAAGATTTACAGATGAAATACTTAGATTGTAAATATTCTTTTTTAAATGTGTGGATGAATGTATGAACTCTTAAATTTTTTTAAGTTTTGGGTATCTAAGTATAGATTCTACTTTTTTTTTTTTTTAGACAGGGTCTCACTGTGTAGTTGAGACTGACCTGGAACACTATGTAGCCCAGGCTGGTCTCGAACTCCCAGCGATCCTCCTGCCTCAGCCTCCCAAGTGCTGGGATTACAGGAGTGAAC